ACACACACACACACACACACACACACACACACACACACACACACACACACACGTGTGCACCTATAACACCTCACCAATTATTAAAAAAATGTGAATCACAGAAAAAACATTATCAGAACAGATAAAAACGCAAATTCATCGCGTTATTTTCACGCGATAAAATTGCGTGAATTTATCACTTCTCCGGAAAAACCTCAGCGATGCGACAACGTGCAAAGAATCGACAACGCGCGGACGTTACTTATACTTACAATAACTTATAATACATATATCATATATAATAATTGCAATACTTGCAATTAACGATACTTACGACTGGTGTCGGGTTGCCTTGCACGCAGCACGACAGCTTGACGTTGCTGTGCTCGGGCACGAACCGCGACCTGAGCGGGAAGTCGAACCTTGGCGCCTTCTCCTCGATCACCCACTCCGTCCACTTCAGCTCGTAGTTCTTCTTGCGTGTTGGTTCCAAACTACGGAACGGCAGGTCGTGCACCTCCGGTATTTCTGCGCGAGAGAAGTGACGTTAATGTACAACGCGTGTTTGTTCACTGCATGCTGTACGACAGACACGCGCATGTTCCGTTGAATGTTTTATTTGTAAATTTAAATAATTTAAATAATTGTAATAGTATTAATAATTATTATATAATTATATGTAAATAGTTAGCTGTAAAATATAGTTACTTTAGATAATTATCGTGCAAAATTATCGCATCACATGAACGCATTATGAACAAATCTTCGGACTTTATGCTGTAACGATGGCCATTTTTTATATAAATTAATAAAATTAATAAAAAGCAAGTTTATTGCGATGAACGCAAATCCGGCATTCTACCTGTTATTGTTCTATATGGTTGCATTTTTTAATCGAGTTTACTTATCTTAATCTTTGTATAGAAATAATTTTTATCTAGATACTACGTGGTGTTAGTTGAGTCAAACATGTATACGTTTAATTATGCATGGCTTACTTTGGAGGTTTTGGCGCTCGTAACGACATTATTTCTCACCAATATATTTATTAATATACTACCATGCCTTAAACCCTCGACAGGAATACGCGTATAGGAATACGCGTGACGCGCCATAGACGTGTGAATACGTCCAATATAAGTCTTGGCCTAGGTCGCGAGTCTAAAATTACGATGTCGGATCATAACTCATAATATTTATATTATAGCCGCGTTCACACGTAGCAAGAAATCCGGTATTTAGCGTTCACGCGAAGCAAAATACGAGGCCCAAGAAATACGGTATCTAAACAAATCCGGTATTTCATGTAAATACGAGGCTTCCCAGACCCCGAATAATTTGCCGTGCTTGAGAAATACCGGATTTCTTGGACCGCGCATTTCCTCGAGTGAACGCTAAAGGCCACCGCACACCAGCCGATTTTTACAAACGATGAAACGATGAAGCGATGAAACGATGAAACGATGAAGCGATGTAGGTGTGCGGGGAACACATACGATAATTTCTGTAATTTCCTGGAAGGTGAATGTCATGTGACACGGGCACGTTCAGACTATTGCTGTTCAATATTTATCGCACACGATTTCCTGAGGTCACGCGCACACCACAAAATCGCGTCCAATAATCGTTTCAAAATCAAACATGTTGATTTTGAACGATCCACCCGATAAAAATAAAATCGTCCTACAAATGAACGCGCAACACTACATCGTTTTATCGTTTCAAACACGTTTTCATACGTTCATCGTTATGTAAAAAATCGCTGTGTGCGGTGCCTTAAAGCGCCACCACACACCAGACCGATTTTTACAAACGATGAAACGATGAAAGGATGAAACGAATTGAAACGATGAAGCGATGTAAGGCTGTGCGGGGAAACCACATACGATAATTTCTGCAAGGTAAGTCATGTGAGACACGGGCAGTTCAAGCTAATTGGCTGTTCAATATTTATTGCACAACGATTTCCTGCGAGGTCACGCCGCACACCAACAAAATCGCGCTCAAAAATTCGGCTCAAAACAAACATGTTTGATTTGGAACGATCACGATAACCAATAAAATGCGTCTACATAATGAACCGCGCACACGCCTACATCGTTGTCATCGTTTCATTCGTTTCATCGTTCATCCGTTGTAAAATTGTCTGGTTGCGGTGGGCCTATTAGTAACAATGCAAGCCAAAGCAATGCGAAATAAACAATGCAATGCGCACCAACTGCGCGATAACATACGTATGACTGGTGCCGCGCGCTCAAGACAGTTTCCAC